TAAATTGGTCAGCTTAATCAAAGCCCTGCTGAGCACCTTCCTTCATTAATTCGGTAGAATGTCAAACTAAATCTATACAAAGATCAATTTTGTCTTACTTTGTTGATATTGATCAGCAAATGGACAGAAGATGCACTTTCAAGGTTATCTATCGCATTCCATCACAACTTTCGAAAGAAATTCGAACTTTTCTTATGCTAATAGCTGAAGCTAATTAAATCTGTACTTTCAAAAGAAGTTTGTTCTGCTTTCGTCTATTCTCTGCTTTAGTTACGTTTAGTGAACAAATCTGTTAACGTAACTGCTCACCACTTTCTCTACATTCAGTCCTTTCATATGAAGATCATATTTGATATTATTTTGGCTGACTAAGACTAGTGGTGCAATCCGAAATGAACATTTCGTCCTAATTTGAACTCAAAAGCCAATAATGTTTAAGCCAGTCGTTCCTGGGTTCGAGTCCCTGGGGTGACACTACCATTCACTTGGAACGCAGGTACATTCATCTGGCTAGTTCGAAATAGAACGAATCATGCCTCTTGGATTCTTTTCCTGGCCTCAACCAACCAGAATACTATCAAGTCGATCCCCAGATATCGTCGAATCGAACGTACCGGAAGCAAACATCTCAGCATTTCTCTCCATCATCATCAGTAGGTAAGGAATACAAATACATCTTAAAACGATAATCAGTCAAACTTATTGAAAGTCTGATTCTTTATTCCTTTCACTGTCATTATTGTGTAACAACGGAAGATAAGGGCCAGGAAACAGATCGTTTATTAAGGAAACCAACATATATTTATAGATTTTCATGTACATTATTATAGATTATTGTCAGCAGACAAACAGAGTCTTCTGATTGGTTGTTTGTCACAAGAAGTTAACTTTGCATCTCTCTGTGACTGTTTCTTGAATGTCAGATCATCTATATGTTAACTGTATCCACCTAAGCAAAGTCTTTCTTTTCATTTTACTCACGACCAATATCGGAGACATAAATATTGACGTCAATTACTGCCCACCAATTTTGTCTAACAGCCATCTCTCACCACAATTATGTAAATCCTGATTTTGGACGTTTTCATTCACATGTAATTATTACATCATTTACCTTAACATACGACCTTTTTTGTTCTTGTTGACGCCTGTCAGCTTCAAGCTTGAGCTTTGAAGTTTCGGCAGCAGTTGTGTGTTTACTTTTACGCGATAGGGTTGCTAGGCTCATGCCCAACCTTCCTTCTTTACCGCTCTTGTTACTGGCAGAAGTTGGAACTTATGGACTGGCCATGGGATCTCATCACAGTGGCTGAATGGTCTACGAAATAGCCTTGTAACCAGAAGGTCTTGGGTTCAAACCCTGGTGGTGGCTGAGTGCTGATGAAGAGTCCCGAAATGGGCTGACGAAACATCCGTCCAGTGCTCCGACGCTTTCCAGTGGTTCTCTAACCAACGTCAGCTCATAATGAAATCTTGTAACTTGTATTACTTGTGATTTCCTTCTGACCTAACTGAATCGGTCGTCGCCCTTTTGTTATATGAGCTCCGTCAACAAATGTTTCGGTTGGATATGGCTGCAAGTTCGGAAACATTGATACAACATCTAGTGAGAAGATAGTTTGAGTAGAAGCATTCACGTTTTCAATGGAGATGACAAAGTCGAAGGGATCTTGAAGTGAGTGGGTGGAAGGAAACTTGCCTTGTGATTGTTTCAAGGAGGTCTATTAAGCATTAGGCAGTGTGTTAATAAGGTTAAATCGCCATGCTAGGAATAGATCGAGGAGGTGTGTTTTTCTTGTTTACTTTCGGAATTTCATAAAGTCCAGGTGTGTTTGAGTCAAATGGCCTCAACACTTTTAACACTTCAGCCTGAATAAGGGATTCAGTCTTTAGTCTTCAGAGGATGTTCGTTAGTTTTTGTCAGGTTGATCGGCTTTGTGGACTCGAATTCGTCAGAAGGGATGATCAGCATTTTATTTATGTGGACCTCAAGATTCATGATTACAATTCCTCAACCGTTATCTGGGTGTATCAGCATGATCTCTTTGATGTTGATTAATTCTTTCAGCTCTTTAAAGTGTTTCTCGGTTATTATAGACCTTTCGTTTGGTTTGGTGCTTATAAACTTATGACAACTGTCAAGAACTGACGATTTGAATCATCGCGCGTTCTTTTCAGATGTTGGTACTAAATCGTATGTCCGATTTATCAAGTTTTCAAATTAGACCTGGGATTGAAGCTTCTAGGTGTTAGATGGTTTTGTTCAGAGTTTAGACTTGAGGATAGCGCTTTTAGTTGAAGCGTAGACAGTTGAATGTTTGAAAGAATAAATACGTATTTTTCTGGATTGTTTCAGAACGCACACACAGTGTTATTAGTTGACTCAGGGCCCTTTATCAAATGTGACTTGGTCTTATCACACTGTTTCTGTGTGCCTTCTTGGACATATTCTTTGAAGTACTGAAGGAGTTCTCGATCTCTGTCATGGACTTCGTGAACTCGCAAGCAGATATGTCATTCCAGTTCAGGAACACTCAAGTGAATGGAATCCATGTTGTTTAGTGTGTGGTGCTTTAGCTTTCTGTTACCCAGTTGCAATACCGTAAAAATCAAGTGGCACATACTAAATATCTCGGTGTCACATTGTTAAGAAAACCTAAAATTACTTGTTTCAGTGGTGGCTGACACTGGATGAGCCTTTTGATCGTATTCAGGAGAATTTAGCTGGATTTATATGAATTCTGAATGAAAGATAGCACTCCTAACAAGCCTTGAATCCATCAACTATCTATTTAAACTCTAAAATGATATCCATTAGGCTAGTGATTCACAAATGCTGCGCCTTATGCTACTGGTATGATACGAAATTATTCCTTCATACCCGTGATTTCCCTTATATATATACATTGGGAGGATTCATCGATCTCTGCAAGGAAGGGTTTCAGAACATATTCCGTAATGGCTGCACAAGCAAACAGAATCCCCAGAACTCGTTAATGATGCGAACACGAGACCCAACTCTTCTATTGTCAAAGATATTACAGAAACAGCACATAAAATTGATGTTTTCACACGTCCTTTAAACTTATCTATAGAACATGTTTGAGGGAGGGCGTATCCTAAAGTTTGTGGAAGCTACAGCAATTAGAAAGTCAACATCACATTTATGCGTTCAAAGCAACAATTCGTCATCACCTTAAACCTTCCTTGGTAAATTTTGTTTTGATACCAGCCAGGGTAGATGTACTATTACCTCTCTTATTTGGTTTAGTGGTCTTCATTATTATTTTGACCTTCGATATATCCTTTTAATTTGACCTAAGTCTATTTTCTGACCCCTTAAATCTTTATTATTGTCATGCACATATATTCCTATGACAAGTCTTTTTGGAATCAGATTCTTCGAAGTGTGTTGCATAAATACAACAGTGCACGATTCAGACAAATTAAGTCTTCTTTACTTTTAAAGCCACTTCTGCGTAAATATACCAATTATATCACTCTTATTACTTAATAATAGACTACTATACATATTATATATACGTGATATGACATGGTGCTTATTTGAGAAGTTCAGAGAAGAATAAGTGAGGTGGGGACGATAAAAGAGAATCAGCAGAATACATGACTTAACAAATTGTAAGAGAAGAGACGGAGCTACGCCAGAAAGTCTCAGCTTCTCTATACAATATACAATCAGTCAAATTTTCATAGAAATTAACAGGATATGAGACGGCCAACAGAGAATCTTTGACAGAAACTCTAACTGAGATAAGAGATATTCGATTTACTCCCTGTCATCACAGTGTCTTCAATATTACAGGAATCATGCAACTGAATCCCTCAGTCCACGCAAGTTTTGCTGGCGTCTGAAAGTAAAATCAAAAATACGACGTTTAGGTGGATTTAGTGTAAGACCATTTGTTAACTTCCGATAAAAATCTACTCACATATAAGGACAAACTACTGTAAACAGAAATGTTCATATCATCGGCATATTTGATGAAGTTATCGATTTTGTTTATGATCACAGTTAAGCCATGATAATGAGCTTCTCACCAAGCAGTTGAACAACATCAAAGAACCAATCATTTCATAAATTTTTCATTTTGTAAAATTGCTAACTGACATCTCTGAAGTCTATAACATCTATCGAAATTTGTCAATCTATAGTTTATTATGATCATAATCTTCTATAAAACCGAATTTCAGTTAGTAAGTAAGTTCAGTGAAAGACCTTCGTAGCATCTAAAGACCACATCTTTCAAAACTAACAGTTAGCTGAATTATTTTTCCAACCAAATGAATCACGCTCTTTCCGTCCTGAAATAATTATCGGTTAAAGGTATGATTTCATTTGACTAATATCGTCTGACAATGTTATCTTTGGAAGATATATTAAGGAATTTAACTTGCTCTCACTTATCTAAGCAGCATCGTGAGGATGTTAAAGTCAGTTAAGATCGTTGAAGCAAGATGGACCTTCATTACTATGAAATTAGTGTGTAAATATGATGAACTCAGTATGAGGAGGAAGATGTGGATTTCAGGTCATTTGGTGCTTTTCTATTTTTCAACTGATTACATTAAACTTTTATCAATATTTGCTTTCAATCAGTACTGAGGATCAGATGTCCACCTGAAAAGAATAGGTGACGAGGAACTCTCACAGGCAACGAACCAACCAGGAACTTGTTGTTCAGTAAATATGCCGGAGAAAATGGAAATGAATTGGAGACTCTTTGAAGAGACTGCTAATTGATACCAAGCAAGAGGCCCAGGAGCGATTGGAACCTGGATGGAAAAAGACCATTTTTGCCTGTAAACGAGGTTGAAAATGAAATCGCATTGCTGGTCGGCACCATTCAGGAGTCACTCACGGATAGATTTGAACAGTGAATTAACTTGACTATTTCTTGTGATTATGAATTTTTAGTTTCTCTAAGGCTTAATGGTTCTAGTGATACTTTAATATTGTTTTCAATTGTTTTCTTTTTCAGGTGATCGACGAAAATCTCTCAGAAACTATGTAAAAATTGATTCACAGTATGAAATTGTTATGAGGTCGTCTACTGAATTCAATTTCCAGAAGGGTAAGTATTAGTAGTTTTTGAGGTATTCAATCAATGCGTTTATATGACCATCAATTCAAACTCAATAACGTTGTGTTTATCCTCCGTATGAAGCAAGACTACTTCACTGTTCGTCAGCCAATAATAAAATGGCTGTGTAACTCACTGTATTGAAGTGTAGAGTGTAGTGTGATAGAGTGAATTTGTACAACCAAAATGTATTTTCTGAGAGCAGTGAAAATGTTGACAGGGAAATTTGTACTGAAGATTTGTAACTCAGACCAGAGTAGCCTGTTATTTATCCTGTTTTGATGAGTTGAAGGATTTCATCATGAGTGGACATCAGTCAAAGAGTCATTGAAAAAACAACTGTTTCATCAGCCCAGTTTAAGCCTCTTCATCAGTTCGCACCTGCCGGGGTTCGAACTCATGACTTTATCGTCACAAGGCAAGCTAGCTCGTAGACCATTAAGCTACCTTTTTAGCTGACTGTTTGATCTTCAGCATCGAGAGGAAGAGGCAGCTGTTGATGGACGGCTGCAGCAGGCCGCTAAAGAGGCTTTCAGTGACACTTGAGACAAGCGTCTGAACTATATAGAAGTACTGACTGAAATGACACTGGTGCTGAAAATCCGTCACTAGTTCTTTATGCTGAATGCAGTATTCTACAACTGAAGATGCCACATTACATTTAAAATCAAACATGGATGTTTACACTAATCTCACATAGTTTTGGCAGTCGGCAGGAAGTCACCAATTTTTGTTTAAGTAAAGGCGCTAGTCAGAAAAGCATATCTGCAACCCTCATGGAAGTGATGCCCTTCTAGGAGACACGGGCCACGCCACACACTGCTTCAATCAGTAGCATCACCACTGCTCTAATCTGGTTCACAATTGTCTTCTTGAAAGACAGGAAATCGTTATCATCGGTGGTTACTGGAAAGCAACTATGGTCATGTTTCTAGTCCCTTGTGTTAGAACTCATTTAACTGTAGTTATCAATGTGGGCCACTAGTTACTGAAGATACGCCTCACTTGAAAATGTCAGCAAGAACGAAACTTTGTTAAAATGCTTACCTCCAAATATCTCAGAAACATTTGATATTTTAATTAATTTTTGAGAGTTGATTTTTAAGGATTACATTTGTTTTTACAAGCTTGATCATGGGTTGATATCACTTAGAGCATCATTGAAAACCAGGGAGTACTTGACAGCTGAATCAGTTCCCATCCGCTGAATTTTATACGAGCTTGCCTTGTAACTGGAAGGTCCTGGATTCGAAGTCCAGTGTGTGCGTATTGCCGATGATTCTCAAACTAGGATGAAACAGCTGTCTGGCAGCACCCCCTGTGTTTTTAGAGCTGTTTGCTAGCCAAAATTGGTAGACAGCAATTGACATTAGTGTTTACTTCCCAAATCTTGGTCATGAAAAAAAAAACCAAGAACAAAGACTAATTCAACAACCAATCACAGCAGACTTAGGCGAATATGATTAGCAGATATATCAGGGGACTGTCTAACAAAACGCCACAGAATAACCTTCAGCAGGAAAACAACCAATCAGAAGACATTGCTACTCTGCTAACAATAACGAGTAATAATGTACATAAAAATCTACAAATATCTCTTGATCTCCATAAACGATCTGTTGCCTGGCTTTTGTCGTCTGTTAGTACACCTGGTTTTCTGTGGTTCTCTAACTGATATCAATTCGTGGTCAAACTCGTAAAAACATATTACTGAAAATACCCATTGAGTCATGAATAAAATAAAAGACAGTTTCAGCGAAGAAAATTTTCTCTATCGACGAAATCATCTTCAGAGGTTGCACAGTCGTATTTATACATACCAAAAATATATAGTGGTCTATTATTGAGTAATAGGTCGGGGGATGACATAATTGATATAATTACTCAGAAGTGGCTTTAGAAGTGAAAATTAAAAGTAGTAAATTACGTGGTACTCAACGGAACAAATATAGACATTTGATAAGGTTCAAGTTGCTATTGAGTGAGAATAAAGGTGGTAGTCGAGTGTCAAATTAACAAGTGTGAAGAGGACGTGAAAATATACAAAAGGAGCATGCGAGAATGATAATAGTTAATTAATTACTAAAGCAAAAGCAAACTAAAAGCAAAATTAAAAATTAAAAAAGAAAAGAAAAATTAAAATTTTTTACAGAGAACAATTACTGAGGAGGTTAAGACCATGGTAGAATAAGAGACTGGACAAACTTTCTCTGTATACAAAGTTCGGGGTTGTATTAACGAAGTGTCGACGCCTCCGCCATACGCAAAAGTCGAAACCTGACGCCCTTTGTACCATTTAGCCTCACCTTGTAGATGATCTTGAAAGATGACCCTGGTGGAGCTGCATGGCTTGAGTTCACCAAGTGCTCAAGAATTGCGCTAGCAATTGTCTTACATTGTCCCTCTGCTAACCATGCTGGATAATGTTCAGAGATGCGTTTGGAAAGTGTACGCATTGTACTGCCAATATAACCAGTTCCACAGCAGCAGGTGAATTTATAAACACACATTAGAGTGACCCAAAGCGGCAGTTTATCCTTCACACATCCATTGTTCATTCGTCGGCTGTAGAAATTGATACTTTGCTCAGCCATAAAGAAGGCTTTCCTCAGTGATCTGCATTAGCGATTCTTCAGGATCTCAGCTGAGGTATCACCTTTATATTCAACACTCAAAAAGTAGCAGTTTCTTCGGCACCGTCTGGATCCTTTCACGCTTTTCCCTTAACTTCATATTTTTCTCGATAAACCTTGGAGGATATCCATTCTCTATTAGAACTTGTCCGAGTCGCTCCAGTTCACTGGAACATATCTTCCTTATTCTTGGGGATAAGGAATGGATCAGATTTCTTCTTCTTCTCAAAGGGATCCAACTATGGAAATTTGTGTACTGACCATTTCATGTTGTTTTCCTGTAGATCGATCTTTGGAGAGAGCCATCAGATCTTCTTTTTTAGAAAAATATCCAGAAAATAAAAATTCCGAGTTTATCTCTGATTCCGACGTGAACTGAATGGCATGATGGCGGCTGCTGAACTCTTTAGTTATCAATTCAATGTCGGTATTGTCGTCAAATATAATGAAAGTATCATTCATGTATCTTTGGTACAAATGGAAACTATCGATAGTAGGCCGTAAAATACTATTCTCCAAACTTGCCAAGAAGCAGTCTGCAAGTAAAAGACCCAATGTTGAACCCATTCCCACTCCGTCTCTTCGTCTATAAATCGTGTTGTTGAACTTGAATTGGACATTATGAGTGCGCCTCAAAAGTAGTAGCCACTTCTGGGTAATTACGTCAATTATGTGATCCCCCCACTTATTACTCAATAATAGATCACTACACATCTTTGTAAGTACAAATACGACTGTTTAGCCTCTGAAGATGATTTCGTCGATATAATAAACACCATTATTAATCCCATTTTAGAGTCTACCGTGTGAATCGAGGGATAGGATTAAGGCACCGCCAAGACAAATACAGGACTTGATGCATGACATACCAATGATCAATCACATAGATTTATTTTTCTACTAGTACGGAATCCAGATTTTGCTTTTTAAGTGTCAAAGCATCCGTGTAATTAATTTCCCAAGAACATCTTTCCATACAAATTCAACTTTTAACAAAATTAAAAGCTTTGGCGCCCAGTCTTGTGATAGAATAAATGAACATGTAAACATTTATATTGGGTATTTAATTGGACATTACTGAACCTCCTGTCTTTTAATTAAAACAACTTTATTCCCTACTAATTACAAAACAGAAATACATATTATAATTATTTTCAATTTTGTTTATTCTTTTTGGTACATAAAAGTTCAATTATAATAGTAAAGGTTTTTGAATATGTAGCAATAAAATGTAAGAAACTAATAACTTCAATTACTTCCCTGAAAGATAATGTACTTTTCCATAATTCCTATCGCATGGTTTGTAACAAAAACAACTAAAAAGGTATCCTTTGATTATGTAATCCATTATTTCAATTATTAGTGTAATGGCTGATGATTGTAAACGTGAGGAAATGAAAATCTAGCTGGCGTCAGGATTCGAATCAGCTGCCAGTGCCACCTACTTACTAGTTTCCTCGTCCCTAGGGTTCTTGGGGACTTTTCTCGTTTGTGTTGCTGTCTGGAATCTCGACACTCCCTGGATGTTCACCTGTTTCTCTTGGTTTATCATTGTGATTGTGTCTGCGTAACTCCATATCAACGTGACTATATGTGGTCCTTCCCACTTTGGAAACTGTTTGCCTGACCCTGTCACAGATTCGTCGGTATTTCGCCTCACACTTTCATATGCTGCTTACTCCCGACCTCCCAGCAGAGTACCAAGTAGCAGCCTCATCGCTGACAGATCTTCAGCGCCACTTATCTGAGTAGAAGCCTTGAAGTCCTGCCAGAAGATCCATATGTCTCCATCATAAACTGCAGGGCATAGGCTTTCCATTTGTCGGTAGGCAGCGACACCAAATGTAAGAAAAGAAGACAAGAGTCAGACAACAGATCGTCTATTAAGGAAATCAACACATATTTATAGATTTTCATGTACATTATCATAGATTGTTGTTAGCAGAAGATTGGTTGTTTCTCACAGAAAGTTAACCATGCATCTTTTTGTGGCTGTTTCTTGAATGTCAGATCATCTATATATTAAATATATCCACCTACGCAAAGCCTTTGTTCTCATTTTTCGTATGACCAATATTGGGGACATAAATTACTGTCCACCAATTTTGACTTACAGGCAGCTCTCACCACACTACTACCTCCCTAAATGACGACGTACTTTTCCATAATCCTTGTCACACGGTTAGTAACAAAAACAATTAAAAAAGTATTCTTTGATTATGTAATCCATTATTTCAATTATTAGTGTAATGGCTGATGATTGTAAACGTGAGGAAATGAAAATCTAGCTGGCGTCAGGATTCGAATCAGCTGCCAGTGCCACCTACTTACTAGTTTCCTCGTCCCTAGGGTTCTTGG